GCTCACGTGCTTTGTTTGCTATTTTAAAGTCATGAGGTAAGCAGAGATGCGAAAGGAGAAAGTGCAAAAGGACATATGGCACGAGCACACCTTTGATGTTGAAAGCACAGGTATGAGAGAAACAGATTAGAGCAATAAGGAGTTTAAGAAGCAGGAAGATGAAGAGAAAAATGGCAAAGAAGTGAAAAAAACTCCAAAGCAGAACAGGAAAAAAGAGAACCCTTTACAACATGATGCTGGAATTCACTGATGAGCCATCGCTGCCTTGAAATCGTCTCTGGAGAGCTGGGTTTGGGGGCGTTTTGCCAGGTTTTTCATTCATGGCACATGGAAATTCTACCCCAGCTTTGATTAGGATGGGGCAGGAATTGTGAGTTTATGGACAAAAGCAAATTTTGTGAGTGCATCAATACAAGAACAAGTTGTGATGCTGTTCAAACAAATACCAACTCCATCAATGGCATGAGCCTGTCAGGCTCCATAAATGCTCACAGTCACAGCCTGGTTTCTGTTGGAAGAGTCCTTAAAGCTCCTCCAGTTCCAACCCCTGCCATGGGCAGGGACCCCTTCCACTGGAGCAGCTTGCTCCAAGCCCCTGTGTCCAACCTGGCCTTGAACGCTGCCAGGGATGGGGCAGCCACAGCTTCTCTGGGCACCCTGTGCCAGCGCCTCAGCACCCTCACAGGGAAGAGCTTCTGCCTAAGAGCTCAGCTCAGTCTCCCCTCGGGCAGGTTCAAGCCATTCCCCTTGGCCTGCTACTAATTGCTGTTATAAATAGTAAAGGATAAACTCCTCTTTGCTTCTGTACAATGTTATTAACCCTACTCTCAAGCACTTAGGCTCTGAACAGAAAATGGACATACAAAAGCAGTACATTGGTTACTTGCTGTACTCAGAAGTTAAATGTAGATGTCTAAAACCCCAGATGCCAAAGGAAAATAGGGAAGATGAAAACTCAATGCTTGTTTTGGAGAGCAGGGTTAAATCAGCTCTTGTTTTGCTCCACAGTGCTTAAGAAACAGGGGAGATGCTGTTTCCTGAGCAGGTTGAACTGAACTTCACGCAGGTGGCACTGAAAGTGACATTCCCACCTCCTCCTTTGCTTCTGGCCACAGGTCCCTGCTCTGCCCCCATCGGCACTACAGCTATGTGATGAGCTGGATAAGCTCTAACTTTCCCGAAAGAGAACACTGGGAGAAGAAAAATGTGGGTTTCAATCAGATCAGCACCTTGAGGTGGCTCACCCCAAGGCCACATGGTCACCAGTGATGATCACGGAAGGAGCTAACCTTGAAACCACACATGAAACAACTGCAGGACATCCAACCATCATGGTAATCCAAAAACATGTCCACGGAAGATAATATTCCACCTTTAAATAGGAACCCAATGCTAAGAGCTCACCTGGGAAGCTGGGCACTCTTCACCCTGTAGATCCCACCTCCTACAAAGCCCTGGAAGCAGCAGAGCTTGGGCTGAGGTTGGTTTCTGCCCTTCCCACTGGAGCTGGGCCAGCTTAGACTGGACTTCAGAATTCACCAAGCCACAGAACACAAGCACTGGAGGGCAGCTGTGACTCCATAGGAAAGAGACTCCCAGGGGAAAGGGCAGAGCCTTGTATTCTGGTCCCTTCTCCAGGAATTCCTCATGCCTACTGCAGTGAAGGCTACATAAAACGTATGCACAGCTCCTTTTACACTTGAGCTTCAGAAATACATCCTATGGGCTATGGCAATCCACTTAGGAGCCAGTGAGAGCTCTGCCCCAACAGGAGAACAGCATATGCCTACCTGTATTCTTGGAAATCCTTTTCCTTTTGGTGGATGGAAGTGAATCAAAGAGCAATGCTGAGCTCTTCACAGTTATGACTCACTCCTGCCAACCTCGTGTTTTGGCAATAAACCTGCATATAGGCACAGGAGCCTGTAATAACAGCTCACAGAGGGAATTTCAGTAGCCAGTTAGGTCCTTAAAGGTACAATTAGGTACCTTAAAGGTACAACTCAGGTGCCCAAGCTTTGATGAGGAGTTTGGAACACCTCCTAGCTTCCATTTACTGCACTAGGGAAGCCCTGAAGTCACAGCATGGCCTGGCAGCACTGGTTTGGTTTGGCAACATATGGGAAAGAAGGGAAGGAATTAGATGCCAGAGATCATCACACACAACTCTACCTTGAAAATGCATGGATTAAAGTGGCTCCTATGCATACCCATGTTCCTGGAAAACATGCATTTTTATTTGGCTTAATGGTTATATACTTTTAAACACAGGTATTACCATTCCAGCAACAGAAGAGGAAGCACTCCTCTTTTCCAGGTCCAATTCTGGGCTCACTGTTTTGCATGTAAGCTTCAGGTGCAAATCCTGTGGTTGGATAGCTACAGGCCATGGGGAGCTTCACTCCAACAATGTACAAAACAAACAAGTAGGAAAAGCCAACAAATTCTCTGCACCTCACCTGTGAACTTGTGCATGGGAATCCCTCAGGAATCTGTGCAAATGAACGCTACCAAGACACTGCATGGACCTGAAATGTTAAGCACTGGGTTGGTTTCACAGAATTCCAGAATGGTTTGGGTTGTAAGGGACCTTAAAGCCCATCCAGCTCCAAACCCTGCCATGGGAGCAGCTTGCTCCAAGCCCCTGTGTCCAACCTGGCCTTGAACACTGCCAGGGATGGGGCAGCCACAGCTTCTCTGGGCACCCTGTGCCAGTGCCTCACCACAGATCACCACAATATGCATGAATAGGAGCAACCCACACGTAGGTAAGATGATAGATAGATAGATAGATAGATAGATAGATAGATAAGATAGATGGATGCATGCCAGGGATGGGGCAGCCACAGCTTCTCTGGGCACCCTGTGCCAGCGCCTCAGCACCCTCACAGGGAAGAGCTTCTGCCTAAGAGCTCAGCTCAGTCTCCCCTCGGGCAGGTTCAAGCCATTCCCCTTGGCCTGTCCCTACAGGCCCTTGTCCCAAGCCCCTCTCCAGCTTTCCTGCAGCCCCTTTAGGCACTGGAGCTGCTCTAAGGTCTCCCCTTCAGGAGCCTTCTCTTCTCCAGGCTGCCCCAGCCCAGCTCTCTCAGCCTGGCTCCAGAGCAGAGCTGCTCCAGCCCTCACAGCATCTCCATCGCCTCCTCTGCACTCGCTCCAACAGCTCCATGTCCTTATGCTGGGGACCCCAAAATCTCACTTATCTATGATTAAAGTGGATTGGATTTTTGCTTGGTTTTTTTTAGAAGGTCAAGACTTCCACTAACATCACAAGCAATATTCTGATCAGAGCAAAGCTCTGTTATTCCTGCCTCCATGCACTGCCTTTTTTTCCCAGTCAAGTTAACCAAAAAAGGCATGGAAAAGTGCAATCTCTACACCATGTATTTCAGATTCTCTCAATCAGATTAAGTGACATTTTAAAGACTGCAATGCAATAGAGAGACTGCAAACACTCATACATAAAATCAGGATTCAAAATGTGATTTTCCCCCTTATTAGGGGTGCTAACCATCCCTCTGCATTGCATCAGTGGTACCAACCTGGTCCCCAAAACAGATGCAGCAATTCCCTGTCCCATAGGGGGCTGCATGACAGTGAACTGGAAATCTCAGACTCCTTCTCCTCAAATAGGACTCACTTGATCTCCTTAGCAAACCAAACTGCTCCACTGTAAGCCTGAGGATTGACCGCTGTGATGCAGGTTTAACAGTTAGCAAGTTAGAGGCTATAAAAACGTGCAACTTCCTTTCTTTTAATCTAAAATGGTAACAAAGCAATGACCTTTTTAATGGTATTTTGTTGCTTAAAACCATACAAAGTGTCTCCTGAGACCATTTTGACGAGCTTCTGGTTAAACCCACGATTTTCAGAAGGTACGGGGTTCATTCACAGAAATACTCAGCTAAAACAGATCTCTGACTCTGAATATCTAATTCCTTCTCCTTTATTTGTTTAATTCAAGCACAGTATTTTCCTCCACCCTTTCCTTTTCATGGGCTTTTCACACCCACATAACAACCAAGTGACTCTTCCCTGACCCGCCCTCCCACATCGTTTGGTACAACCAGAAAGTCACCCTCTGCCTGAGCCCCCAGCATCCAGAGGAAGCGCTTATGGAAAGGAAACCCAGTGCAATGCAAAACCTTCCCTTTCCCCCTTCATTTCTTGTTAAACCTCTGGTTTATTCCCAGTTCCACAGGGATTTGCGGTGTATGGACTGCTGCTGTTTTGGAAGAGAGGGAAGAACAACCATAAATGCCCCACTACAGCTGCTGATTCAATGGGTTTGGGAATGTGAGGAGTCTGGGTGTCACCCAGACAGGGCAGAACAGCAACAGTGAATTCCTTAGGACACAGCACCAGCAATTGCTGCAGCTGGTGTCTGGAAGAGACCCGCCACAGGGAATGATAAATCATCACTATTCCACTTTCCCCATCTTTTAATAGCTTGTGCATTCAAAGAGATGTTCTGGAAATCCAAGAGCTACAGCATCATGTATCAGCATCTTCATATATAAAACGTAATAATGCTGGTAAGTTAAATCATGGAATGGTTTGTATTGGAAGGGACCTTAAAGCTCATTCAGTTCCAACCCACCTTCCACTGGAGCAGCTTGCTCCAAGCCCCTGTGTCCAACCTGGCCTTGAGCACTGCCAGGGATGGGGCAGCCACAGCTTCTCTGGGCACCCTGTGCCAGCGCCTCAGCACCCTCACAGGGAAGAGCTTCTGCCTAAGAGCTCAGCTCAGTCTCCCCTCGGGCAGGTTCAAGCCATTCCCCTTGGCCTGTCCCTACAGGCCCTTGTCCCAAGCCCCTCTCCAGATTTCCTGCAGCCCCTTCAGGCACTGGCAGGCTGTTATCACCATCCTCATTTTACCAACAACTGAGAATAAATGACTTGCTCAAGAAGCTCCCTCCGCTCCCAAAACTCCCTCCCCAAACCCCTATCACAGTCAAGAGTAGATTCAGGGAGCACAACTCCCAGACCTATCTTTGTCAGCCAATGTGAGTCCTGCCAGGCAATGTTAATGAGCTGGGGGTTTTGAGAAACCACTAAATGATAGCTTTTTCCTTGGGATTTACAGAGCCACTTACAAATACCAGTGCTCCTATTTTAGGCACAGTTTAAGAAAAGTACCATTTCATTTAATTCCAGGAATGGATATATGATTTTTTCATGTGAAATTCAACAAAACTGAAGCCTTGTTCATTCAATGAAGTTTAACAGGAAAACAACAGCTCAGCAGTGACTGTGGGATGATCTATCTCCAAGCTGGAGGGCTGCCCCAACCCCTTTCCTTAACACCAACGTTCCGGGTTAAAAATGGGTGGGAACAGCAATTTCAAGCTGTTTTCCTTGACCTGCTGGAGTAAGTTTCCCCCCATAATTACAGCCTCCTAAACTGTGGCAGGCCAGCTCCAGTGACAAAACAAATCCACCTTGCTACGTTCAAAAAGCTTTCCTTCAGTTCCATTTAGCAAGATCCCATCTTAGCACTGAAAAGGAGAAGTGCATCAACTTACCAATGCATTGCCAGCAGAAGCATCTCACAAGGTTAAGTGTTATTCAGCCATCAGCTCGCTCCTGGCTCTACATATATCCCACAGGCAGCAGGTATCAGAACTCCCTCCTGTTGCTCCTCATCCCCGTACGCTCACAGACGTCTTCTGAAGCTGCCACCAACAAAAGAAACCACAGGAAGACTGCTTCCCTAATGCTTCCAAACTGAGTCAGTAGGTCAACAATTCCTTCGGTTTAGGAGCCAGACCAATTCCCTTAAGCACCCCTTTCAGATGGAGAAGCCAACTGTCTCCTGCTAGTGGCAGCCCATCTGCTTCCAGAACAGAACCAAACAGCTCCAAAGCACCACCTCGCCTGGTGCAGGCACCCGTCCTGACGCAGCTCCATTCTGGCTGGGGAGAAACCAGGAGAGGAATACTTACAATGGGAAAGCCAGGCAGGAAAACTGCTCCGTGTGCACCTTGCACGCTGCTGCCGGCTCCCAGCCCACGCTCCCGCTTCCCATCCCCGAGATGGAGTGGCATGGAGAAGAGCTCTTCATGTGATACCAGACCCATCCCCAGCCTGCCTTGTTCCATTGCAGGCACTGAGTATCCTGTGTGTGCATCTCAGGCGCACTGCTCGAACAAAGAGAAGGCTCTGAAGCTGCTATCCCTCTTCCCGATCCATGACTCGAAACGGCTGGTTGGAAATTGGTTTCGTAATAACCCTTTAGTACCACCTACTCACATCACAGAGTGATTCTTGCAGCAAATGCACAGGAAATCACCAGCAAGTGCCAATGGAGCTACTATTCCAAGAACTAGCTCTTTCGGTTATTCCTCCATCCTTTGGAACCCGAGCTGCTTTTACTTTCCCTATCGCACAAGGGGAGATTTGTTTTAAGAAGAGCTTTTAACTCTGATCCTGTGAAATACTTTTGTTGATAAATCACCAGCTGAAAACTTGCCCACTGTAAAAAAAAAAAAAAGGAAAAGAAAAAGAATTTCACAATACTCATTCCAGAAAATACAGTAATTCCTGTCTGGAAATAACTCACTGGACAAAACCCAAAAGGGCAGGATCGATCTGCAGAGGGAGGCAGTTTGCATCCTGCAGAGCACACAAAGAGGGGGCAGTGTGAGCCACGTGCCTTTCTGACCACCGCCAGCAGACCCCTGACTCACCCAACCACAGGATGAGTCGCTAGGAATGATTTCCTCTTCTTCCAGGCTCTCCCCCCCCCGGCCTCGGCGTGCTCGGTGCCACCAGCATATCCTGAGCGCTTAATCCCGACTTTGATGGGAATTCCAAACCTCATCCCGTAAGGCTGTGGGCACCAGCTAACGATGCAGCCATCTGCTAGCTCCTGCTTTGAGTCACCTGTCAGCGATACAAAAGGAAATTACTCAGCAGCGAGCACGTGGAAGCCCCATTGCTCCACTCTCTCCCTTTAGAGGAATACAGAATTCCGGAGCGCTCCAATCACCCTGAAGGAAAAGTGCTCTATTCTATAAGCAGCCCCGTTCAAAAGGAGTGGAACTTGGTTGAAAAGATAACGTAAGAAATGAGAGGAGAGCAGACAAGAGAGCGTTTGGGGTGGGTTTTTTGATGCCAGCATCACCGAGGCTGCCATGGGAAGGGGAGGTGGGGGGGGGACGGACACACAGACGATGAGGACAGACACAAAATAAAAGAAGACATTTCACAAACACGAGCCCTTCACTGTGCGTGACAAGAAAAATAATGAAAACAACTGAGAGAAGTGATGTGTGCCTGCTTCAGAAGTTAACTCTTCCAAGGAAGTGATTAAGGGAACAAAAGCAAAGCGGTCTGTTTATCAAACAAGTAAACTTTGCACACCGGAGCGCGTAAAGCTGGAGTAGGGGCACAGCCCTCCCTGCAGGCAGAGAGGTTCATGCAGGGCTGAGATCTTATTGATTACTGAGCAGTGATGAAGTCAAAGATACAAAGCTGTTGAAGTAATGCACAGCACTGCTTTGCCACAACACCACATCCTATTAGGCAGGAAAGGCAGCCACGATGCCCTGCGCCTCCTTATGGCATTCCCTTCGTCTCATTCCTATTCAGGACAAAATCCACGAGGATTTTCCCAAGAAGACCCTATTAACAGCTCCAGCATTTACAGACCCAGTCCAGCAACAGTCAGGTTTTTGTTTCATCACCAATGACGCAGCTCACGGATCCAGCCCTCTGGAAACAAGACTCCCAACTTCTCCCCCAAAACCAGCAGGCAGTTACTACACCCAACACTTGGAATCTTCAGGAATTAATTAATACTAAAGATCTAATTGTCTAACCTGCTTCTGCATGCAGAAAGGAGCCAGACCTGGTGCCTGTACGATGGGGGAGGGAGGCACTTCTTGTTCCTGTTTCGTACTTGACTTTTCTTCCTGCGCAGGAGATGATCTAATTATTCAACGTGTCAGTGTATTGCCTCAGCCTCTCTTGTGTGTCTCCTCACATTAACATATCTTTCACAATTCAGCTCGTTCGGAAGGAGGCGAGGAACAAAACCAGCACATTATCCCCCAAAACAAATCCATCACAAAGGCAGGAGCCTTGCCATGGTTTGTCCTGTACCTATCCCAAACTCCAGCGGAGCACGCAGCCAACGATGCTGCGTGTGCATCAGCAACAAAGCTCCCTAAGCCCAACCCTCGCCTTGCTCACATGCAAGCGTACCTGTTCTGAGACACAAGCCTGATCCGTGAGCTCTGTGAAGGAGGAATTTGGGGTCCTGCCTGATTAAGAAAGCAAAGAAACTCCCAAATGACAGCCCTTTATTGTTCCCAAATGTGCTGATGCTCAGCTGCAGGCACTGTTGGGGAGAGGGGGCTGATGGAGCGCCTGTGTAATGATTGGGTATGGGTGATGAAAGCCAGCGATCCAACCACATAATGCTGCTCCTGATCGACTTGAAATGCAGCTGAAAAACCCTAAAATCCAAATATAACATGTACAGCACCTGCATTTGCATATGTAGGATGCCAGCCGAAGTTTCTGAGCCTGTTTTTACAGCAAACAGCCTTTCAACACCCAGCCCTTGCAGCAGCTACGCGTTTGAGAGATGCTCTTGTGTTTTAAACCTTGCCCTGAGTTACTACAACAGGTCTGCTCACGAATTAGCTCAAGCACAGCCCCTGTGGCCTGCATTAAATCCACTAGTTCTGGGGAAGCATTTCTTCAGCCAGCTCTGTGTGTAATAGCAGTGCCTATATATAAACCTGTTTACGACTATTGCTAAAGAAGAGCCCGCTCTGAAGCAGCTCCTTTCTTCCCATCGAACATGCTGGATGCGTTCCCAGTTAAGGCTTATATAAGGCCATCAAGGAAGTAGAAACTTATTTTGCACGAAATCAAGCCTGTATAGTAGTAGGTGCAAAGGAATTATCCTGTTACACATTAAGTTTTGCTAATAAAAGACCTGCATTGCAGTCATAAAGCCAAACACTTCATCCCAGTGGTACAAAGAGTTAAGTATTTAGTGCTATAAAATCAAAACCTACTTGGCCAAAGGACCCATAACAAGTAAAAAGCATCTGCTTTTTTTTTGGGTATAAACCCCATCATGTTCCTTACAATAAAAGGCACACAGTAGCTGGAATGGTTCATCTTCATTGCTTCCCCGAGTCTGATTTAACTTTGGTTAAAACAATAATGAATTAAGCACATTCAAAATACAACCGATTTGAAACACATAATGTGAAGTTTCTCAGTGCTGCTCTGTTTACAAGGATGTGGTTGGTGTTTCTGTCCTCCTGAACACATCACTCCACTGGCAGGTCCATCCACTGTCTAATAAATTACCCGCTTTCTGACCTGTGGCCTGCAGTACATCCGTGTTAGACTGTTCCCATTGCTGCTGTTTGGAGGGAGCACACCCAGGTGTGATGGCAGGGATGGGTTGCTCCACAAACACTCAAGAGGACACAGCACTGCCAAGCTCATATCCACACTGGGCTTCCACCACCTTACAGAGGCAAACAACACTGCTCCAGACAGGTCTATGCTCCCCAGGCCCACCACAACCGAACTCAAGCCCATCATTTAAGACCAAAAGCTGGGAATGTGACCGAGTCTTAAAACTCAAGCTCTTGTACTCAGAATAAAACCACCAAATTGGCAGATTGTAGCATCAACTGCTTTACAATGAAAAGATAAAAAGAAACAAAATTATCCCCAACAACCAGCAACAAAAATATGCCCACTAACAAAGTGAAAGATTGTGATCACTGGCTAATCACAGACTCACAGACTGGTTTGGGCTGAAGGGACCTTAAAGCTCCTCCAGCTCCAACCCCTGCCACGGGCAGGGACCCCTTCCACTGGAGCAGCTTGCTCCAAGCCCCTGTGTCCAACCTGGCCTTGAACACTGCCAGGGATGGGGCAGCCACAGCTTCTCTGGGCACCCTGTGCCAGCGCCTCAGCACCCTCACAGGGAAGAGCTTCTGCCTAAGAGCTCAGCTCAGTCTCCCCTCGGGCAGGTTCAAGCCATTCCCCTTGCCCTGTCCCTACAGGCCCTTGTCCCAAGCCCCTCTCCAGCTTTCCTGCAGCCCCTTTAGGCACTGGAAGTGATGATCGTCATGCTGCACCGAGAGTCCAGGTCTAAGCCCCACATACCATGGGCGCAGGGAACTGCTTGTGGTAAGCACACCCATTTCTCACATGGGCTGGGAACAGAGCACATCTCCCTGAGCGGGTGCAGTCAGCACAAACACACAGTGAGACAAAAATATACCACTTCCGTGTCATTTATGTATCTACATCCAAATAAACACATCGGTCCCTATCTGATCAGCACAGGCACTCCACTGACAGCACCAGGGATATTTCCCCTCGGCCATGTCCCATTTTGCATTACCACACAGGGGCAGTTCAAGGACTACATCAGATACTAATTAAACATCTTGTTTAAGATTAAATCATTACAGAGATAAAATTGTAGGTACCTCACTCGACCCTTTCAGAGGTCCACAATGGAGCACCGAGGTCCAGCACACAGCACCACCCTAATACTTTCTTAGGAAAAACATGGTCAGAGATGCTACTCACCTTTCTGCATCTTCCTACTGGTAAATCGCTCACCTTGGAAGAGGGAGACACATTCTGCTCCCTCCTCCTACCCCCTCAGCCTTGCAGGGTGCTGTGGTTTTGACCTCTCAAGCCTCCTTCTGCATCACGCCGCTGCTCACAAAGCACACGCAGGACTCGGAGTGAACATGCAAGAACAGCTTGACCCTGACCCTGCAGAGAGGAGGACTTCTCTGGGCATTTGGCAGTCGAGGTTTCGATTGCTTTTCTTAATCTCCTCTCTGCGTTGTATCCAGGCTGTGTAAGCGCACCTCAAGTTAGGGCAGCTACGCTTCCAGCGGTTCATACTGGCACGCTTCTTGCTGGCGATTCCTAGGTGTTTAACTCTTCTTATTCCTTCTTCTGTATTAAGCCTGCAATTCCTGAATTCCAGGGTTTTCTTTAGATTTCATCTCATAAGCTTGCACATAAACCACATGCACAGAGTGGAGCTGTAGGAATGGCTGAATTCTGCCCCTGGCACGAAAAGGATGACTCCAGAGGCATGTGAAGCAGCAGAGAATCACTCTCCTGACTTACTCTGGTAGCTACAACAGATGGAGCACATCATCCAAGCCAAACAGCGAGTTTCTTGGTAGTAAGAGTAAAGGACACGATGACCTCTAGGTAAAAATCCTAGGAACAGCAAGCACACATAAACATCAACCTGAGCAACCCGAGTTCTGCGCCAGAGCTTGAACTGAAGAGAACAGTGAAGAGAAACACCCGAGACAGACCTAATTCAGGCTGCAACTCACGGCGCACGCACGCCCAGCCGCGGTACGAACCAACACTCCCCGTCGTAAGGCCTATTCTTATCGTGGTGATGAACGTAGCTTTGGAGAAAGGCTTTTTTTAAAGCCTTTTGCAGTTTGGTGCAGCCCTTTTTGGCAGAGAGGAAGCTGGAAGGACGTCAGGTTACTCGCCAGGGTGGAACATGTCCTGCTCCTCATGTACAAACACAGGGCATCTCGTGACAGGGCTCTGTTGGTGAAGTGCTGCGTGGCTACAGGCAAGCACGTTATTGTTGCCTCCTTCTCCCTACGGCAAGGGTGTTTCAAGCTTTCATGTATTGTGTTTGTAAAGCTGATTTGGTTCCTCAAAGGGGAGGCAAGACCAGCATGAGCTCTGTCTTCTTGGTACGAAGGTACAGACCTCTTAAGTTTAGTGTATGAGTGACAGAACAGACTGAAGAATTCCCCGTTCCTCCTTCTGATTAACACAGCCTTGAGGAGCTCATCACTCAGAAAACCTGGCAGGGTAGCAGGAGCCATAAATACTCATTTTCAGCCCCAAACAAGGGAGCATTTCACAAATAACACATATTGGGAGGAGGGATGAATTTGGGGGGGGGAATTTCCTTTCTTTTGAGTGCTCTTAGTTTATGCCACTAGATGGCACGTTTGAAACTGCTGGCATCTCGGTGAAATCACAGCGAAGTCTTTGCTCTGCATCACACCGTGTTTATCCTGCTCGCCTCACCTGGGATGGAAAAGTACAGGTAACATGCTATCTCAAGAGCCAACGAGCTGGGAAAGGCGGATGATAGCATGTAGAAATGTGCCTGCGTGGGTGACCCAAGCTCCAGCCCTCCTAACTCCAGTCCTGGTGTGACCTTAAAGCCTTGGAAGAGCCCGTGTATGTGTGTGAGTTGGGACGAAAGGAAAACAGGAAAGGAGGGGGAGAGCTGAGCCTCTGGATGCACACCACTGCCGTCCACCATGAACTGAGCAATGTGCTCGGATTCCTGAGAGTTCAACAGACTGAAACCCCATTCCCAACAACTCCAGCCCATCATTGACATGACCTGGTGTAAGGGAGAGGATTCAGGGCACAACCAAACAACAGGGGAAGATTCACCCAACCTCCAACACTGTGGATTGCCATCACAAGACCCAACGTCTCCGAAAGGGTCAAGCACTCTGTGTCCCATGGAAGATAAGCAAACACAGAGCAGCCCACGACCCACTGAGTCAGCTTCACGGGCAAGTCACCTCTTGTGCTGGACACGTCTCGGAGCGTACCCAGCTGTGCCTTGCTGTACTGGCCTTGGCAGGGATGCCAGCGCTTGGCAGCACCGCTTCCTTTAGGCTTCTTGCTTGTTCTTGCTGCCAGTTCCTTAATTTAACTCAACCTACTTTAGGAGTGCATTAGCACGAGCAGGTATCCGCCCCAGCTGACATTCCCTCAAAGAGGAACAAGTCGGTTCAGCACCGATGTAAGGAGCGCGGGCGCTCGGAGACTGTACTTGTCATGGCATCGCACCCCATATTCCCTCTGTGGGCAGTTTCAATAGATGAGGATTAACAGTTTACTAAATGAGTGCTTCAACACCTGACTCAGTCCTTGGAACGGGCACTGATGGCAATGCAAAAGTAACTGTCAATCTGAGCTGGAGAAGGAAAGACATTCTGATGATAGACCCCTCCCTAAGGGCAATGGGAAAGAATGGAAGGAGAAAAACCATCTTTCCTCTTCCAAGAAAGAACAGCTCAGCCCCAGCACTGTGGCAAAAAACCTTTGTTTTCCTTCCCTTAGGTAGGATTTAGCTCTGTAAAAATGCCCCAAACTAACTGGTAAAGACACAAAGTGCCCTCAGCATCATCAGCTTCACTGAAGGACCAACATGTGCTCCGGAGGCAGCATGGGAAAGCTCAGTACCACCATCCATCCCCTTTGGGAATTCTGCTCTTTCCTGATCCATCACTCCAGCACTATCTGTGCACACACATACCTATGCTTGCATCCAATCAACCTGCTGGACAAATACTACTCCAAATGTACCACAGTGCATTTGTGTTGATGTCTGCAGATGCTGCCAACAAGGAGTCTGTAGACATCAACACAAGGCAGCAGTACCCTGCAGAAATACCTCAGCCAAAGTCTCTATTTTCAGTGGACAAACAACTCCAAAGAAACTCGTTTCAAACATAAGGAGGCAGTAACTTCACCTGAATCTTTCCATTCCCCTTGGGCCTGCACTTGGGATGCAGCTCCCTGCTCCTGTGAGACGGCAGCAGTCTAGAGGGAATGCAGCAATTACTCCAGTTGGAGCTCAGTTTCTGGAGCTGTAGGATGTCTCAGAATGCAGGTTTCCACTGGATGATGCTAAACCTCTTCCAAATACACACCTACCATGATTTCTGACTGCTCTGAAATGAAAACCACGTGTAAAGTTGGTAAACACTTCCAGGAGTGCAGCGCAGGCTGGGATCTGCCCTAGGAGCACTTCTGGGAATGGGACTTGCAGGTCCTGGTGGACACAAACTCCACAGGAGTGAACAGTGTGCTGCTGTGGCAAAGAAATCCAACAGGATGCTGGGGACCATCAACAAGGGCATCACCAGCAGGGATGAAGATGTCATTGTCCCACTCTACTCAGTGCTTGTCAGGCCACACCTGGAATACTGGGTTCAGTTTCAGTCTCTGTTGTACATGTGGACAGGCTGGAGAGGGTCCAGAGAAGGGTCACAAAGATGATCCAAGGACTGGGAAGCCGTGTGAGGAAAGGCTGAGAGAGCTGGGACTGTTCAGCTGGAGAAAAGAAGGCTTAGGGGAGACCTTACCCCCATGATCCAGTATTTAAAGGGTGGCTACAAAGATGGAGACTCCCTGTTGACAAGGAATCACATGGAAAAGATATGGGGTGATGGGCACAAGTTACTGCTGGGGAGATTCCAATTGGGCACAAGAAGAAAGTTTTCCCAATGAAAGCATTGGAATAATCTCCCCAGGGAAGTGGTGGATTCCCCAGTGTTGGGCACTTCGGATTCATCTGGACAGGGTGCTGGGACATCCAGTCTAGGTCATGCTTTGCCTATAAAGGTTGAACAAGATGATCCTTGAGGTCCCTTCCAAGCCAGGATTGTCAGCATGATTACAAAATTGGTGAGGGGAAAAAAAAAATAATCATATTTCTATAAATGAACATCCTTGGAATTCTGTCCCAGATTCTTTTCCTAAGCCAACAAAACCCCCAATACGCTGTGTCCCAGCAGGAAGCAAGGAGGAGACTTGACAAGTGGGATTAATCTTGCTTCTATTTAAGTACCTGCGGCACAGATGCTGATATCAGCGTTAGTCAGAGGGAACCCCTCT